ACATGACATCGATAGCCCCACACTCGATCAAGACTCCATAGAGTTCGTCTTTTTGCAATCAAACTAAAGCTTGTCGTTATCTCCAATATGTATGTGCTGAAGATGACCTCTCATAGTGGCATCTAAGAGTGATACAGAGGCTGATCTTACTGCAATGAGAGGCGGTGTCTCTTCATTTTCTATATAGACCAATGTCACTTCAAGCAGCGCGGGTATTCAGTATCTAGAAATTACACACTCTTCCTTTACTATTGCTTTTAAATTAATAAGCCTTGTTTCTTGAAGAGGTTATCGTGATGTTGGAAAAATTGTGTGGGCATTCGTCTGCTACTCCAGCAGGACAAGCAAAATATGTACAATGACTCGAATATAAGTGTCACTCGAGCAAGTTTATCTTTTTTTATGACACTAGTAGTTATGTAATCCGGATTTTTTTTACAAAATTTGCACAATAATATGCGCTCACTCAATTCCCGAAGTCTAAAATTTATTACTTTAGTTCTGATGTAATATTTTTTGCTGACTCAATTTAGCAATGCAGTTTTCAAAATAGCAGCAAGCAAGCAAGCAGTTGGCATCACTGGCAGCATCAAGGTCACCTCTAGAGCAGAATGCGCTTCCATAGACTACACGCGTCGCTCGCACAAACACACGAACTCGGGACAGGGAAGAGAACCTGCTGCAAGTAGCTCACTGGTACAGGTAGAGAGGTGAGCTGCAAGTAGCTCACTGGACTACAGGTTGGGATCTGCGCTGCATTTATCAGGCATGGGTCCTATTACTCTTTCTTCTCGTAATCATCATATCCGAAGCAGCGATCAAGATTGGGCCTGAGGATGCAACTGTGACGAAGTCTCTTTCAGCTTAGTTATGGTGAAAATTTCGAGCAGCTTCTTTGTATTTTTTGGCCAGCATCGAGATTTTTTCAATATCAGTAGAACTAAAGTTCCTGTATCCAATATACATACCGTATCTATTGTACACACAAATATTATTAAAAAAATTGAAGCGTATTTTTACTAGCTTGACGAATCTGAGTAGGTAGTAAAAGAGCTTTTTTGCCTTGTGGTAAGCTTCATAAAAGTACCCTGTAATCCGACTTATTTTCTACACAAATTTTCTACGTAAGTTAATCCGACTAATTTTCTACACAAATTTTCACTGCGAAAATTGTGAGTTTGGTAATGAATTGAAGGAATCTTGCTTGGCAATTTTGTCATCAAGTTCCGCAATGAAAACGTTCGCTAGATGCCATCAACGAGTAGGAATGCATCAGTTAAATTTTCTACGTAAGTTAATCCGACTAATTTTCTACATAAATTTTCACGGCAAAAATTGTGAGTTTGGTAATGAATTGAAGGAATCTTGCTTGGAAATTTTGTCATCAAGTTTCGCGAAAACGTTCGCTAGATGCCATCAACGAGTAGGAATGCATCAGTACATTTCCAAATACATTTTATTAGTTGTAATTTATGAATAGAATTATTTAAGACAGAAAAATAGCCAGAAGTATTCTGTAAAATGTTCAATTCACGCCGTAGAGCTAAGTAAGCATCCAGACAAGCCAGCGTCCTTGAGCCGCCTTACCTAGCAGGCCGCATGACATGCATGCTGAGCTCGCTGCTGCACCAGCAGCTTTGACACTGCCATCTTCCTAGCAGGCTAACATAAAGCAAAGAGAAAAATGATGAATGTAAGTTAGGAAATAGCGGGGAACGTTTTCCCCTTATTTTTATGTCGCTCGTAACGCTATATATATATCAACGAAAGGTTGGTACAGCATGCATGAGTTAATGTAAATTGTCTAGTACATAAAATATTTTCAGATAGGATTTGAGATTCCAATGTTGATTCGTTGATGCATGAGATGGAGAACACTCATTGACAGATAACTAGTATAATGGATTTTCTGATCTATAAGCAGCTAACTTCGCTTAGTAGCATGAAGCTAAGAGAGCGTACAAGGCGGAGTCGAGAGAAGAAATCTTTTAAATCGCAACTTTACCGGAGCAGCTCACGATAACATGTACAACAGCATAGTTCTTGCAAGGACTGTACATCGCACGACCACATATCTCGTGGTTAGAAAGCATCGACTAGATCACTAGAAAATATATTTTATGATTCGTCTCATATTATGACCTCAATCAAAGGTGCCTGAAAATCGTAATTTATCTTAATTTAGTATCGAAAATCAACCATATATTTGAGAAAATTCAAGTATTTGGTACACAGTATTCCTTTTATTGATTAATTTTCTTGACCTTCATTCTTGGCTCGACAGTAATCCTGTTTATTATCGTTTACCGACGCAACGCGTCGGAGACGCACCACCACGACCACCACCACAGCTGCATGCAATCAAGGACACCCTGACCTTGAAGCACGGACCTGAGGCAACTAAGTCGTGTACGCTCCAGAGCGAGTACGAGTACAGTCATGTCCGTTCCAGACTATTGTTGGGAAGTTAGAGCAGTATGTTGTTTATCGCGACAGCGAGAAATTATCTGCCGTCAAAACGGTTATCAATAATTCTTATAAAACTCGAGGAAAAATGATTGTCCATGCAAAATGTAGATTGTAGCGAAAACATGGTATATATCGTAGCGACTTTTATTAAAAAAATTATACAGCTATCCTTTTTCTCAAATTTAAAGTTTGTTCTTCATACTAGACTTTTTGCCCTTATTTAAACATAAATTCATTTATAAGTTAATCAGGAGCACTAGAATTTTTAATTTTTGTTGTTTTCTCGGGTCAAGTTTGGCACTTCGCTTTAAGCAGACACTCGTATTAAACTTACAGGAGATATATTATGTTGGGAATTATTGTTATCTAGCATTAATTTCCCGCTCTGCTGTCGAGTTGAGTTCATATTACCGTTTTTAGCGAGGCGGATATGATTGCATCCGACAGGCGCCCTCTTCAGACCTAAATGTGATGCAAGAGCGCGCCATCGCTTCTCGCGCCATAAGCAGGGCTACCAACCTAGTCGGATAGCGCTCGCTCCACGTGGTGACTGAAACTCGACTGACTGTCCTAAAGACGCCATTTGTTCTTATGTTCAACATGTTAAATGGTCAAAAGAGCTTTCATTCTAATGTCTTTCCTAGGCTACCTCATAAATAACATTCCAAGTCACCAATGAGTTTTCATCTCATCATAAACCTACAAAATGATACCCATCAACAAATCAATTAAACATATGGACTAGAAGTCTGCTGCTGGCTGCACAGTGCACATACTGTATGCGCTTTACTTTACAGCTAAATCTAATAATTGTAAGCATTTGTTTCACGTTAATGCTAGATACAATTGCACAGTTGTGCTCCACGGTACAGCTATATGCATAGGCATGTATTTGCTTTGAGTTACAGTAATGTATTTGGCATGTTTTTGCTTCGCGTTCCAATTGCACGTATTTTCTTCATATTACAACTTTTTAAAATGTACGTATTTGCTTTACGATACAGCTAAACACAATTAATTTTTAGCTATCTCTTTTCAAGATCGAGTGACTCATCATTAAAGCGTTATTTAAGGCACAAACTTTTTTTTAACCAACCAGAATGACATACAGCATCGAAAGATAATTCTGAAACCTAAGTTTAATTTTTACAGAGGTCTTAAATTTTTGTCTTTCAATACCAAAGTTATTTTGTTGAGTGGTGAATAAAATAATGTCATGATTTGAACTTCCGCCCCTTCGAATAAATTACCAGCATTATTTAATTAAGCGCAAACTAACATCACTTTCACCAAGACCATAGGAGCATTTCGTCAACGCTGTCAGACTTTTTGGTCACGACTGCATTAATTAACTAAAATCTATATTACATTATAAGTCGTGTCGCTTGAACTACTAAAGTATGAATTCTAAGATTAAAATATCCAGAAGGCTCTCAAATGAATTCTTAAGTTGACAAATATAATTTTCATCTCCCTGACTATTATCAACAAATTCCGTAAAATTCAAATTATTCATATTGAAATGCTTATGCGATAATGGGGTGTGCATGAGCTGACGTCCTGCCTAGATTGACTAGCCTTCACACAACATAACCTTGCACTCCGTAACTGAACAGTTAGGCTGTGTGAGTTCCCTATCAGACGTAGCGGGTCGACTCTCGTGTGCTATTACTGATGAAAGGCGAATGTTGAATACAATAGTTTCTATTATTTCTAAAAGGGTTTTCTATTAATTAGAAATATCGACTCCTGTGTGTAATGATTGATACATCATATGACTCATGAAATGTTCAAAGTACATGTCTGTATTCAAAATAATCGGGACACACCTTTTTTAGCGACTTTTCGATCGAAAATCTTTATATGCAACGTTAACAGAAGGTTCTAGACCATTAAACAGTATAAACAGATGGAGATGGCAGCCAGGAAGTGCAAAACTAACGGGCGCACTAATTGCTGTGTGAGTCCTTTAGATTTTTGCTAACTGTTATGGCATCTGCATTGAGAACAATTCCTGCATTTTGTAACGAGCGTTTAAAATTTAATTTTTCTCTTTCCATATCCACCTAAATTCAAAATAAAAAATGTATAAGTGATATGGATGGTATAAAACGGCAAAATATATGACTCAATCGGCATTTCCGCAAATATAAATGATGAGTTCAAGCATACTTAGAATAATTTTTCACTGATTTGTTTCGAGGTTGAAGACTATTGACAATTTTTCAAGTGTTGGCAGCCATGGCACAGAGCGCGGCAACTCATGATATGAAGGTATATTACTCACCCATTTACTTCAGTTTTTACCTAGTGTATGACGATAGCTAATTTCTCAAGATGCTACAATCTTCAATGCCTGCTTTAGTTATTACCAAGGTAGAGAATATTTTATCAAATTTCCTTCGTAAACACAAGCACTCTACGTGACAGTGTTGCGTCTGCTTTGCAGGTGGTGTGAGTTGTGTGTTCGTAAGTTCGACGTGTGGGAGGGGCATTGAGTGCTAGGAGCTCTTGAGTCTCGCATGCTCGTCGACAACTTCAGTCGAGCTGTGAGTGCGGAAACGAAAGGGTGTCGTCTAAAATCGTCTTGCGACCGGCGTTTCTGTTGGAGCATCTCTTGAGAACGAAGTGTGACTATAAAACACGTTCGTACTGTGTTGCTAGCATGATACAGTCTGATCTGTATAAGGTACGATATTCGAAGTGATTACTCTTGATGGATCAAAGTGCTCTGACGTCTTTCCATTGGTAAATGATTGGTTTAAGTGAGTAAAGTAGCTACGAGATTTAACATAACTTGGGCCAATCATCTCAACTCAATGATAGCGGCTATCCAATACACCTGTATATGCTTATGAGGTTGTGGGTTAGAATTGTTTAATTTAAACTGGTGGCACTACGTCTTGCTAAGCTGTGACTAATTTTATTCCTCGACTTTGACTGACTAGAGAGTCTGGACGTTGGCGGACTAGCTATTTACAAATTGTTCAATTGCATGCTGTGTTAGCAGCTGAAAATTGAAGCTTCCGTCGCATCTGCTTTGTGAAGCAAATAAATATTCTGCCACCATGCCTCCCATTGTGTCGCAAATCACTGAACATCACAACGCTGCGCACCATCCAGAACTGCAGAGAACTGACGTAAGCATTAAGACTGTCGATATACGTTTAATACGTTTGACTAACGTAGTGTAATCGTTTAATATTTGTGTCAATTGTGTGTTTTCTTTATAAGTTTTATCATATGTTCAAATCATCATTAAGTTACTGGTTTTGAATGACTAATATTTTTTAATATACGTGATAACGTGAAGTTTAGTGTAGGTTTGCTTTTGATACCAATCATTATCATACCATCTTATTTCACTCAGTTGATTCATCAGTGCTTTCAGTGGCTGAATGTCATTGAGTTCGCTACTACCCCGCTTTTATTGACGACTTCATATACCTATATACTTAGCATATAAAAAGTATGTAGGCCTACATCGACAATATCTCCATTTCCGCCAACATCAACTCATCAAGTACCTACATAGCTACATTTAATTTCTAATTAGGTATATTGGTATTATTATAACTCTAGCCCTCGTCCAGTCGTCCATATCCCTCTTTGTTTGCACTCACGTTCCGAGAGACTTGAACAGACCAACTCGTACACTTAGGTTAGGAGCTTGAGAAGCTACATACAAGTGCTACTGCTAAAAACTGCACCTGACCGCTCCTCTCAAGTAACGTGTTCTTTTCTTCGACCTTCTGACTCGTGTTTCGGTTTACGGGTTTCCTTTCTATTGCTCTGTCATTTCTGTTTATTTGTCTTGGACGTAGTTCAGCATTCCTCCGTTTAGATGACGCGTTATACCGTTATTCTTTAACGAGGAAATAGGTTACGAAGTTTTTGCCTGCATGGTAATCTAAAATGTTAACGTTTTAATAAGAGTTCCTGGTCGCAATCGATTTTATTTGCTATGTTATTGCAACTATATATATTGTTTCATTATTTCAAAGCTGAAGAATATAAAATTATATTCCCATATGCATCGTGCATACGCATGAATGTTGAGTCTTCCATGCTGGTACTTCTTTCCCATTTTTGCAACTTGCTGAAATCTTTAATGAAAATCCCTTTTTACTCGAAGTCGTGTTCCGTATTCTCAGTTTCATTCGTTATGACTAAGTGTGTCATCAACAAACTGATATCGAAGCCATTCTTAATTAAACCTTATCAGTCGTTGGCACTACAAGTTCTACCTTATTTCCACGCAACAAGAATGTAATCAACTAATCATTCATCATACAAACTTGATCTTTTATGCATATGGATGAATGTGAGTTTCTTGAAAAGAATTGAAGCTTATTAGCACCAATTTTTCCGTATTTGTATTAGTTGAAATTGTTCATTTGAAATAATTTGTCCTTTGAATTTTATAAGCCTGTATATATTCACTGATTTTGTCGAACAAAATTGACTATGTTTAAATCATGGAACCAATTAACCCTAAGTAGCCTAACTTTTTACAAGAAGTTTTCAACCGTAATCTAAGAGGTAAAATCAAATTTGACCATAATTTGCAATAGGAGAAGCTCGAGATAATTAACAAGGGCTTTTGATATAGACGGTACCACAAATACTTTTCAGTTGTTTAGTGAAGTGTCATGACTTATGAGAAGATAGAAGCGTCCCTGTGCATCTATTATTGTCTATAGCTTACGTTGTTGCCATGCTGCTACCGATGGACTCGCTGCACTCACATCCAAGGTCACGAGTCGTGACGTCGCTGCTTGCTGGCACCCTGCCTCCTAGAGCCGCTGCAGCCCCGCTTACTAAAACCTCTCAAGATTACGATGCTTACAATATGCGGCCCATGTAGTTCTATACTTTATGTTGTTGGGCCTGTCTCTACACCCAGAGTAAAAGTAACAGTTTTAGTTCACGCCAAGCACTGTTCAAGAATTTAATATTTTTTAAGCTTCTAATCAACTAAGGGATTTCTTCTAACATGTACTGACAATTAAGTATCTTGGATACCATATATCCTGGCGTGTTCATATGTGGAATGAACCGTGGACAAAATCAGGAATTGTAATGCAATTCCACAAAATGAGTGCCTATTTTTCTGGTGATAAAATCACGATTGTTTATTATGAACTTGTTTATCTCTTCTATTTCTGGGATGTTGTTGCTAGTTAGTTGACTGTATTCAGAAAGCGACTTTTTCTTTTTACGTTACGCATGTCGCTTTTTTAATTTAGTGGTTTATTTACGTAAAGCTCGTGTGCATCTTTTTCCGTGAATCGTTTTGATTAATTTCATTTCAGCTTCGTTGCAACGTAAGCACTTTATCACCCCGCGCCATTTATTTTATTATGATAACGAATGTAATCTCGATGCCGTTTTCGTTTTTATTTCTTGGTTTGGTGAATTTGTTTAGAAATGCATGTAGGTTGGTGCCGGTGCTACCAAAAGAAATGATCAGTTTTTTTGTCAGGAATATATATATATACTCGACAAATATCGTGAGGTTAATTAGTACGTTTCTTCTTACTTCGTGAAAGTGTAAATTGTATGTAAAAATATAATAGTTAATAGTGATTAGCTTCAGGAAAACGTAGTAATATTGCCACCGACTCGTCAGTGTCCAGTAGCTATAGTCAAACGTGCTGGTTTTCACGTTGGCTCCCACAACTATTTGAAATTTTCTGTTGATAAATAGTGGTATTATATATAGTGGATGGCCGTTAACTTAACGTGCAATGAATATTTATCACGTTCGGGTGAGATGCTTCGCATTGTGATGAAAACGCAACTAAAAAACTGCTCAACGAATATTGTCGAAAATTTGAGAACAATTTTTGCCAGTAAACTAGCATTTCCGTATCAAAATGTGCCGTTCGATCGTTAACCATGTAACATTTAAGCACACGATGCTTGAAAGCAATCGAGCGGAACAGGAACATTTGTCAACATACCTTATCTTGTATTTTTTATTCTCTCTGCGAATTTTACCAGTTACGTTCATGTGTATGTATACATGATTCTAACCTAACCACCTTTTGCTCTCTCATCGACTTAATGTTTAAAAACTTATCTCGTGGTTTTTTATTTATTTTTTTTTCACTCATCTTTCAAATTTTTCTATTTCTATATTTCAGAGGATGATTACGATAGATCTTAGTGTATGGCATTTAAGAAAATGCAACAGAAGAATCTTCACTAGTCAGATTTATTTAGTGTTGGCTTGTACAAACATTTCAGTTGTGTAATATAAAATGTTGCTAACGTATGTTTAATCATCTATTTAACGCTGATACAATCATTTTTTTACATGCTAACCCGAGCAGTTTAGACAAAGGTGAGTGTTTGGTTCATGTTCATTCTAAAATCACATTTCAATCGAGGGACCAATTCTAGAGGTTTTTACACCACTCTAGACGTTTTGAAGCATTTGTATTTAAAACCTGAAGTTTTCTAATTGCAGCTCTTTCATATAATCTGTACAGCTCTGGGCGAACAGTCTATACGGAAAATGGGTTCTGTAGGTGTCCGCTGAGGTCTGCAGTAATTTTAAGAGCCGTGGTCTTTCGATTGACTCTCACAATTCGATTTTTGTACCGATCGTCTCTCTCAGACAACTTCGATTTTCGGCCAGAGCTGTGTTTTGCTGAGGACGTTTTTCCTTCTCTTTCAAAAGCAGTCATTACATTCATTTGAGACATTACCTCTAGAAACATCAAGCATTCGGGAAGTTTTCGTCACACTAGCACCTGCCATACGGACACCAACAATTTGGCCTCTTTGAAAGACAAGAGCGGTTTGCCATTTATGGGTTATAGGTTAGGTTATAGACACAAAAATCACTAAAAATATCTGTGCAAGGATAAAATATTAATTAGCAGCAACAATAAACAGTGAAACATGAAAATATGTCACGTTTTCATTGTTTATAACCTGTTCAAAAATTACGATATCAAAATGTCAGGCGTTTCCCTTGTATTGTCCAACCCCTGTACGTAGAGTCAATTATGTTCTTGAAATATTATTAACACATTAGAGCTAACGAGCTAATTGATACCTACGTGAGTTCGAGTCATTACAAAATTCATTCACACGTAATATCATTCACATCAGCGCTTTGTTTTGTTTAAAGATATTCGTGTCACTTACGCTGACCATAGAAAAGCAAAACATTTATATACCTTCACTGTTGTCGTCTGATTCTTTTATGGCTTGGTCGTTTTTGGAGCCTCTACACAGAAAAGCTGTCGCGTTCCAAGTACAATCCTGGGGTTTAGTTGCGTGCTGTGTAGCATGGATACCGTACCAGTGTGTTGCTCCGGCGTTTCCTAGCCGCCGGTGATGAGGCTCCTGCGTGGAGTATTAATGAGATACCATGTAGGCCTCTGCTGCCATCAGCCAGGTGCTAGCATCTACTAAATTAAGGCTGGTTAACCTGTACTGCTTTGGTAGACAACTATTTTTACTAGTGAGCGAATAATACATATACAATCCAATGTGCAATGTCAATATAATATCTAGGATTTTTATCTACTATACACATGAAAAATTTACTCATTAAATAGGAGATTGTTGAATAAATGTAGAGAAAGGCCAAGATAAACAGTTGGTTATTTCCAGCAGGTGGAAGCTTGTCCGGCAACCGGCCTGTGCCGCATGCTAGACGGCCAAGCTGCCTTGTAGACGAGTGTGGCATGCGCTCTTTTTAGATGTGTTTTATATTAAAAACATAATGTGAAATGTCTGTCTAACGAATGACATTCTGATCATTTTTGAACTTAGCGTCGTTTCAGTAACGCAAGTTACTCAAAATGTTGCTGGCCGCATAACAAAATTTAGGTTTCAAGTTTGACTATTCTCGTTGAATTTAATCGACATGTATGGACATGTTTTTGTAGATATTTCATGAATAGGAGAAATTGAGCCATACATATGATCAAATTTCTCTCGGAAAGATGTAAATATATTTATCATGGTAGAATTAAGAATACAGACACAATGGCCTCAAGTGCCCTCAATTGCTTCTATCATCTTGGTTTTGGTGTTAGGTTACTCGTAGTAATTGTAAGTTCATTTCAGTCTGGAATTTCAAATAAAATTTTTGGTTAAAAATTTAGCGAATGTTAAGCTGTCTTTTTTCTCAGAGAAAATTTAAATGTTAATGTGAACCAGCCGTAATAGTCGGAATGAATTGCGTATATGTTTCATTCCTACGCCTGAAGTGTGGAATTTATTTATTTTTAATAGAAAATACATGCATAGAACGTGTATTATTTTATTAATAGTGATGCATTGGACGTCCAAATAAATCACAATCCCATTTGGGTCGTAATAATTGACACTCAGAAGCTTAAAATGTTCAAATCTACCTTATCAGATAAGTATAATTGCTTACACTAATTTTATTAAAAGTTCAAGTAATGTTCATACATGAAATCCCTTATAACTGGGTTGTATGCGTGTGTTTTCATTTCATAACTGGGAGATGCAAGGGTTTTAGCGGTGTTGCTGATCGTCTCTGGAGACTAATTAGAGTGCCTTGTCGGTGCTGCTGCCTTTCGTGATAAGCAGTCATCAGTGGGGCCGTAGATCTCGGCTCTGCAACGGTCATGTTTTCTGAACCTCTTTTGTCGTGTCCCTGATTTCTGTGTCGCAGAAAACGCATGGTCGAATTCCCGCCCGTTCTGGCATACCAAATGGCGGGAGATATTGATCTCCGTCTTTTTAACCTGAGTTTTGTCATCACAAGTGTGCCGGACGAAGCGGAAACGAGCTCGTTCATTTGCTGCAATGTATTGTATATATTTGATATCTAAATGTCTGATGGATTTATACACCATCGCATAAAAAATCGCCAGCTGTTTAAATGGCGTAGTTGAACTGGAATTTAGTTCGTATGTTCTCACGGTTTTACTTTTTTACTTTACGAACAAATTTGTTCTTCAAAGCCCTGGAATACTTTGTCCAATCAAAAACTGTCGTATTGTTTCTCTCATGTTGTCTTTCATTTGTTCCTAACATCGGCTCTTGGTAGTCATTTTTTCAGCTGACTGTTATGGAAGTCTAGGCGGAATGTCCATTCTCTTTTCCTCTAATAGCGCCTAGTTTGTTCACTCCAGCTTTATAAGCCTTAGGTAATGTTAAGGTTTCATGAGACAGGTTGCTAAACGTGATGATTACTTATTAGGTTCCTTCTGAATTTTCGAATGTCGGAGAGAAATTCAATGAAACTTCTATTCTCTATCTGCCACTTGGTGTGAGATCCAAGAATGCAACCTTTATTCTTAAAAATTATGTTGGCACTTCGCACATGTAAGTCAAGTGACATCATGCTAGGAGACGAACTTAATGTAACAACCATCGCACCGACATTCATGTTCTCGTATCAGTTTACTATTTATTTTAATCAATTAGCTACTCACTCGTATAATATGGCCGGACTGGGAGCGTCTTTATTTCTAAGCTAGTCGATATCGATAGTCTTGACTGGTTTAAATTCGTCTTGCGATCTTGGTCAAGTTAGGACACTGCAGGCACATAGCTATATGCAACAAAAAGCTCCTCCATTGTCCTGCGAGTGTGCTGCGGCATAATGGGTGGTGTCCGTTGCAGTAGCTTTGCTTGTTGGTTGCTGCACGGTGAGTGTTGCGACAAGCGGCAGGCTGTGCTTGTTGGTTGCTGCACGTGTGTTGCGACAAGCGGCAGGCTTTGCTTGTTGGTTGCTGCACAATGGGTTGTTGGTTGCTGCACGGTGGTTTATCTATCATAGGACTTCGGTATGATAATTTCAATCATATTCACTTTATTCTGCCTTAGTTCGCTTTAGTCTGATGAAAAATTAAAGAAACCCGCAATATTTTTTACCTCTTATCGAATGGCTAAAACTTCCCTTGATTGGGTTCATCGTTATCTACGAACTGCTTCAATTATCAACTACTGAGCATGTCAGTTTAACACCGTTTAATTTAAGCCGTGCATTGAGGGCCGTCACCAAGAGGTGTTTCTGGTTTATTTACGTTGACGCCACTTAGCGTCAAAATTATTGTAATCACATTATAATCTATTGCATTCGAGATCGATCACTTTGTCCGGAACTACCATTTACTACTACCAACTAAGTTTTAAAGTTGATTGAAGTAATGCAGTTCCTTTTTCTAATGTCGTTCTGTAAAGCTCTATTTCAACATTCGGCGGATATATTGCATTTCGTATGCTCTAACTTCTTGTGGCTGCTCTTAATATCACTTCATTCAACCCACTGTCGTGTTTTTTTTCTGTGACGCAACATGTCAAAAAGTATAGATAACATTCAAGTGCTTAACAATGCCATGAATTATCTTTTGAAAAGTTATGCAATACGCGTGCCTATTTAAATGCCTTTCATCATCCTATTGCTGTGTCCCAAAGAAGCAGAGAGAACTTAGCAGTTCTATACGCGGCTGTGTGCCATTGTTGGGGCCCTTGTACGGGCCATTATAAGTGTGAGTGTGTGAGGCTCTCAGTGGGAAAGAAGCTCTGCGTAAGAGCGTCCGTGTTGCATGCCTGCCATGTATTGGAGCCTAACTCTTCGTGTGGTAGTCATGTGACCTACTCTACATGGTGGTACGGTATTTTACCGTCTGGTATGGTTGTCAGTAATTATCCATTTAATTCTCATTTTATGTAGGATCAATTATTAGTCCTTTTATTTAGTAATTTTCCTATTGAGTTTTTATTTTCATCGTGCGATGAAATTCTAATTAGAGTAATACTTTCTCAAATAGTTTTTCAGATTTTAATTATTTATGATCTGGTTGCATTCTTTTCTAAAGTGTTCTTCTTCAAGTTCTATAAATTTCAATATTTCCTTCTCAAGTTGTTTCTGCTGTCATTTTAGTTAATTGTTTTCTTAATTTTTTTCAATGTATAACTTGGCTTCGTTTTCAATAAAGAATTCCAAATGATTACTGTAGTCGTTGTTTCGTAAGTTCACGATTTCATCATTTGTTTGAAGTTCGCCTTCCTCTCACTTGAACTGAAATTATGCTCACAGCTTTCGTGTATGTTAACTGCTTTACAGCTTAGAGGAATATGGAGTAAAAGTGTTCGAGTGGCGAGTGGCTTTATAAGAGAAAGTTTGGCCAGCGAAAGTTGCTGAAGAAAGTGAATGTTTGACTCGAGTAGGACGTCAAAGTCAAGGTCGCGCCGTGTGCTGACTGCAGCGAAGTTCTATTTCGCAAACGTGTAGCTTACACGGACTCTTCTTGTTTAATTATTGAATTTTGTTCTGTTATTCGATTTTTATAGAGCTATATAAGTTAACTGATAAGTTTACAACCTTAAGAACTGCAGTTGGCTAAGGTTTCTATTAATCGAAACTCGAAAGACAATCACAACTCTTTTACAGTCAATACACTAAATTACTTTTGGTAAGACATTGATAAATCTTATGATAAAAGTCTCTTAGATGTGATTATACTGTACTTCTGCCTAGCGTTCGGTTTTGCCCTCTAAAAGTTAGCAAGATATTTATTTATATTCTCGTGCTGACGAGCTTGACCTGCTTCCGTCATTCTGTATTCACGTCCATTGTTTTGTCCAGCCCAGCCTTGGTAACTTTTGCTGCACCACTGCCTAGTGTTGCAGCTTTCGTTTGTTGCTATCTTTTGTGAAATTTTATTTAAACATTTATAATCGTGCTTGGTGCTTACTATAACTCCGATTTTCTGATAGAAAATTTGAATTGGCGTTCCCTAGTGAATCTTTTTAAGTAATACTAAAAAATATAACATTTAAAGCACATATTTATATAGAATTTGAAATCTCTAACCTCGGCACCCTGGATCAGATAAGGATTTGGCCAGCAAACTTTGTCAAATCCATGGCTCGTTCACATGGAGTTACGGAATTCTGCATGTATACCGTGCATGTGCGCTACAACTCCGAGCCTCCGGAAATGATACACCATGTAATGATACTCATTACTCACAGCACACAGCCTCAACACGTATGCCTCTTATTTGATATTGTACCAATGGTGTGCTAATTTCCGTGTTATCTTTCGGTATGTAGTGATAATAAACTATGTAATAAGTTCATTGTATGACGTTCAAAAATTATTGATCAAGGCTAAGTTACTTTAATAGTTTCATATTCTATTACTTTTGTTTTCAAGGGCACATAGCATATTAACCATTACATGTGCTCAGTTTTATGAATTAGGTATCGACAAGAATGTTTTGACATTGATGCGCATATTATCGACTCTCATATATATACACTAATAAATTTAAAGTGAGCGGAAAAAATCCTGACGTAAAATAAAGACGACCACGGTTAACAACATTAAACTAATGCATAGCGTGCACTATTTAAGAGCAGAGGTTTTCTATGAAATGAACATTGAGGCGATACCGTTTGTGTCATAGGATTTCCTCGACTGAAGTCGTTCGTTTAATCACGAAATGACGCACCAAAGACGTCCGTGGCAGGGTTACGTTTTCCGTTACTTTGCTCCCTGACATCAACGCCATGACGTTCATCCTGTCCAATTGGCTAATTGTAGCTCAAATTATCCTCAACAGCGATGTGTCATGCTTCCATGTCCGTTTATAAATTCGACAGATTAATTCACAGTTTACGTAGTTTTCAGTGTATTTTCTCCCTATCAAATAATGGTCAATGTCTTGGGCAGCTCTTTTTCCTGCTCGCTTTCAGTTAACTTTCTCCTTCGTAGAATACTTTCGTTATATTTGACGACGGTACAACTGAAAATTGCGTTGCCTATAACTAATTCTTACACGAATAATTCGTGACAGATATGTAACTTATTAATATTATCTTGCTTGAAATCTTCATGAATTATTTGTTAGCCGTTGCTTGTTGTATTTTCCGTCTTATTAGTAGTGAATAACGTCTAAATATTTATATACGTGTAGGTTGATATGCCCTGTTCATTTCTTTAATTCTCCTCTCTTTTTCTGTGCAGTCGGTTCTGCGATCTCATTTCGATCGATTCGAAGACTACGAACTCGGACAACAAAAACAACAACATAAAGCAATCGGCGGTCATTTGATGCTCAGCAAACAAAGTTCGACTCCCGTTGGACATCCTGCTTTGCCTTTGAATTTCCTAAGTGTCACAGTGCAAAAAATGGGCCTCATTCCCAACAACGGCGTGTCAGAGGGCCTTCTGGGTCCGGCAGCCATAGACCCCGGCCTCATCAACGGCAGTGGCTTGCATAGACGTCTTGACAGGTCCCATTCTGAACCCGTGTGGCCCCAGCAACAGCAGCAGCTACCGCCGGTATGTCATCCAACATTAGTTTTCACTCTTTCGTTTCTTTGTCAGTAATTTTCAATTTTAATAACTATTAAAAATCATCCTGATATGATACTTTTATAGTTTTATTTATCATCTAGTTAATAACTCATATTCATACCTGGAAGTTTTTATATATATCATAGTACTCAAATGGTCATAGTTGTATTGGAACAAATTTTTCTTTTGTGTTATTCAGTGAACCATTTGTGTTGAACAGGACACCAGACCTGGCAGCAATTCTTCTCGCTACAAGACCGAGTTGTGTCGTCCCTTTGAAGAGAACGGCTTCTGCAAATACGGTGATAAATGTCAGTTTGCCCATGGTGGCGTGGAGCTGCGAACCCTTAACAGACATCCCAAGTACAAGACTGAGCTCTGCAGAACCTTTCACACAATTGGCATTTGCCCTTACGGTCCTCGCTGTCACTTTATTCACAACGCTGAAGAGAGCAGGGTTTTATCGCCTATCATGTCAGCCATGCCCATGACTGGTCCTCTCCCTAGTATGCACATGACGAACAGCCCCCCTCCTGCACTTATACATTCTCCTCACACTCCTCTGTCGATCAATTCTCCTAAGACGCCCTTGCCTACGATATTTGACAAGCACTCTCCGCCTTCTTCTATACACGGAGGCTCACCAACGGCCTCTGGAGTCTTCTTCGACGACGCCAACTTCTCCCTCTTTCAGGGGCATCTGCTCGAAGGCCTTGCTGAGACTTTCGCCCAGTCCCTGCACTTGAATAAGAAGGTTAGCGATCTCAATAGCACTTACTTGTCTTGATTATCTTATATTCACATAATCTTCTATATTTGTTTTATTGGGAAGTCTACGGAAATATTAAATGCATTGAAGGAGCAGAATGTTACTTTTTATTTTTTTCGCTTAGCAAAATATCTCCAACTTCCCCTACAATTTTTAAATATTATTATGATAGTAAAATATTTACCAATTTACAAGGAATTTTGAAGTTCAACTTGACTGTTTTTTCATGCAGCAGTCGCAGAACTATCAGACCAGTTTCAACAACCAGCTGCATAACCACCTCAACAACCAGCTGAGCGCCAGCAGCTACCACAGCAGCAGTTCGGGCAGTGCCAGTCCTGTGACGTCCTGTAGCCCTCAGTTCGGGGAGTGTAACCCTCAGTTCGGCGAGTGCAGCCCTCAGTTCGGGGAGCTCCTCAACGATGCTCCAACTCTGGACACTCCCCCCGCCAGTCCCCCCGATTCCTCGTTCCCCATAGGCGAGGATTTTAGTGTGAACTCGTCTCTGAGACTCCCGATCTTCCAGAGCATCAACGCAGTGCAGTAGCTTCCACTGCATCGACGGAATGATGGTAATACGTTACTCGACGCAAAATTCTTTTTACTTTTTTTATGGAACGCAAGATTTTTTTTCATATTTCACGGAGGACTGTATTCCAGAAACTGTCAATGGAAACTGCTGGGCAATGGAAACTGTAAAAAATTTTCTGGAGTCGCCTGCGAACTTTTATTTAAATTATATGGGAAGAACCATTCATTAACTATTAAAAATACTTTGTTCGTTCCCTGTATTTGTGAACTTAGATCTGTTGTTCATCGTTGGATAAACTTCTCATTTACTGTATCGTATCCCATGGAATTTACGTTTAGAGGAAATAATGTAGTAAAATATTAGTTGTAAGGGCGCGAATCTTGATTTTTTTCACGTATCCGTTCGAGGAAACGATTTTTCTTGGCATTGAAGTTTTGTTCTTGTACGTTGAGGAGATCCTCAGAAACTACACCTGCATATATACGAGTATATACATTTAACGTATAATCTGCGAATACTTAGGTTTAGTACCTGTGTATAACACGGTATGTACTCGAACGTGATTTACTTGGTGCACTTGCTAGTTAAGTAACTTTAGTGTTTCAGCAAGTAGTTTTTCAGAAGGTGGTGATGCGGATGCTAGACTTGCAACCTCAACAAGAACAGCAACACAAACAATATAAATTATCAAATTTATGTGTAATGGACAATTTTTTTGTTTTTACCATGAGCCGCACTCTTGATCAATTCATTGGATTCAACGTCACTTATTTTATATATATAAATTTGAGGCAGGCTAGGTGATGAATTCCATTTAATTTCCTGAAAGTTATATGTTAAGTATGAGATTTTTTTGCCATTTTATTTGTATCTCTGCTTTGCTGTCTCAGAAGACTAGGCAAGAGGCTTTTATTTCCTGTCAATCAGGTTCTTATTTGACGATCATATATAAAATATTTTCGTACCCTTGGATTGTCCAAAACTATTGATGAAGATGCACGTGACGAAACTGCACGTGACCCTCCTATGTATTTTGCATTCTTATTTATTTGTCCATAGCTTTGACGATGTATGGTTATTTTCTTAATACTAACGTACGACTTGTCGATGTACATAACTCATAATGATGGAGGTCATTTACTCTTCGTATCACCCACAAAGCTGCTATTTTAATTCGCTCCTTACGAGACCTTTACTTTTACTTTCGCTAGAGCGATGTAAGTGCAAGCGCTCATTGTACCTTGTTCCCCTAGGTTATAACTTAATCCCCGTCTCCAATATTCTATTGCTAGTAATATATTATAATTTTTAGTCCTACTCTTTAAGTTGGTGTGGCAGCTTTTGGTAAGCACAAATTCACTCTTTTGTCAAAAATTTAATTTGATTTTAATTTGAAAGGTTTTTAGTATCTGAAATTCTCATAAGCTTCATTATGAATAACATCACTTTACATGAAACATGTTCACGTCGAACTTCGTTGTGTTCGCATAACGCTGTGTTCGCTTATTCCCTCCGAGTTTATACGGGCGAAGGGAATGCTCCCATCTCTTTGTTTTACTTGCTTTGGATTACTTCTTTTTTTCACTATACCTATCGTCGGAAAAAAAACGTGTATAATCGATTAAAAAGTTACTTTTTGCAAATATTCTCACCACCATTCTACTTAATTAAGATGATCATCGGGATAATTAAAATCCTTCTTATTTGTTTACAAATTCATTGGCGGTAATTCGCATACCCAATTTTTTTCTAAAACCGCTGTGAGATTTAATTTCTAACAGAAATGAGTTTTTAACGTTAATGGTGCTTTTTGATTCCGTTTTAGCTACACTTATTCGGGCTCCTAACTCACAGTTGCATTGAGAATGAACTATCTCTAATACCGTTCTTTTAAACGGTCTGGAAATTAATGCGTATTCCATTTCGGCGAATGATTTGGGAAATTCGTTTTGGTTCGAATGACTTCATTGTACTCTAAGCTTTGATTTTATTTTCTTATAAGGATGCCTATCTATATATGCAGAGTTATTTAATGCAAATTGTATGAGGTTTTGCGTGCACATGATAACGTCGGCGTATTTGATAGATAGGGACGCTCCCGTGGTGTGCCCTCGGGTCTTCGCTTACGGGACGCAATTAGATTGCTTTTATAGTCACTTTATCGAAAAGAGAGAGCATTATATTTATGAAGCTATCGTTTGTAAGTACATAATACTAACTAATTATATTCATAAACTCTTATGTTTAGATTGTAATCTTCTCCTGCGTATTAATGTCCCTAAATTCTTACAAAATGACATTCGACAATCGTCCAGCAATGTGCGTGTGCATACAATTATTCACTTGGAATGTTGGTAGAGTTGTTCTGAATTGTACTGCTTTAAATTTAATTTTGCTTAATCAATTTAAGTTGCCGCATTAGAAAATTACAAATTCTGATGTCATTTAAAGTTGGATTAGAAATTTCCCACAATTTGCAGCGCCTTGTCGTTTGTGATCGCGTGGCTTCTATTGTGAGTCTCAACAATGTTTGTTTTATTTATTATTCTGTGTTAATTATATTCCAATAGTGAAAGTAAAGTTCGTATTTACTTGCATTATCCGGATTTCTTCTGTCGTGTTCGAAATTTCACTGGAACGATATTAAACATTTTATAATTTCTTATTGTTTGTTTTTGTTGTCCTTATTATTCAGGTAAGAGGAAGCAACATAGATATTTTGTTATTCTTTAGGATTTTCATTTATTCTTAGATGTATGCGGGGTCAATTTTGGACCGAATCTATGACGTGCATTTCTCCATATTATACCTGAACGATAAAACTTTTCTTTTGAAATATCTCGACAAAATCCTTTCAGAACACTTGTACTAAAAACAACTACATTGTAATTGTTAAGTTTGTTATCGAAAAATCAGACAAAATTTACAATCTAGGACAAAAACTTAAGTATCTTGAGTCCAACATATCATGAAGTAAATCCAGCTTCAGTGTGGCAGCAAGAAAACAATGTGACCACATGTGGGCACGACGGGGCCCACACTTGGCAGTGCGGGCACGATGCCCACGACACACACGGATTCTTCTCCAGGCTTTCACTTTCCTTTCGCGCCACTAAAGTGAGCGAGAAAACGTCCTCAGCACGTGCTAAAAACTGGTCAGGGTTTATGTTCACTAAAATTAGGCTTGGCACCGCAAAGAGGTATAATTCAATCATCGTGTAATCAACAGCCTTATAGACTCGCATTTTTACAACACTTCTCTTCAACTTCACTTCTTGTTTGGCTGCTACAAATCATATAATAGATATTTAACACACTTATACCTGTCCAATCGATCTGAAATTTTACACACTTGCATATAGTTGGAGACAATGCATGAATCAATTATCCGAATAAATAATTTTGAAAATTATCAGAATTTTTATATTTTGAAAAATTGTGAACATTAATTTTTTGTAATATTTGAAAGTAAAATTAGAAATTCATTGTACATGTTTAAAATCAAAGACACTGGATTCTTTAGAAGTGAAGTTTATTTCGAATTTACGAACGCATTCCGCGAAATTGGTTGGATCGGAAAGTATTTTAAGGTATTGCTTGAGTTAAAAATGGCTGATCACTTGATGAAATAGTGGATAGTGCAAAGTAATCATGTCTTGCGTTTGTAATTGTTTGAGATTAAACAACTCAGAAAGCCTCAACTGTTACGATATTTCATTTCAGATATGCTAAGTATGAAAATCGATGGAAGAAAGTACGTCTATGCAGGGGTGAAAGTGCCTTTTATGGTAATTGTACACGCGTAAGTGCAGCTGCAGAAAACGAAATTGGAGAATTCTGAACGAATGCAACGTAGTAGACGCAGGCCTGAATCTACCACATAACGCGCGTCGCTTGCCATTATACTTCCAATGAAACGAACTAAGTTATTCTTAGCACCCTCAGCTTCACGTAGTGACACTACAGCGTATAGCAGATAAAATACTCCATTTACCACCAATGTGTGTAAAATCCTAATTCAACACAGAATTCTGTAGTTTTTTTTACTTAGTATGACCTGCGTGGAAGTTTTTATTATCATACCCGTTGCGGTTGTCTGAAAATTCACATTGAAGAGAGCATGAAGGCATCTGAAGTTCAGGGTTATGAAATATATGGATGTTTTCATTAATTTGGCTCCCAGATGATACTGGTAATTGTACTGGTCTTTTTATTATTTCTATTGTTATTAGATGTTATATAAAAATATGATGAAAACTATTACTGACACATTATTGGCGCGGGAGCAATAACCAACTTCAAGTACCGAAAAGAATAAATTTACACGGAATACGCTCAGATTTTTCTCATCTAGTGTATTTTTCTCGTATTCGACAACTGCGCATCACTCCCTTAGTGAAAATTTATGGTGACTTCTGCCTCAGATGTTTGTGAGATCGAAGAGAAAATATTATAGGCTAGTATTTTGAGAGATATGAACTGTATTCAGCTGAGTGGACAGCTCGTTGACTCAGTGAATCAGGCGGCAGGGGCACATGAGTCAGAACCTCTACAGCTGCTCAGGATGGATTAGTTCACCGTACACAATCATCGCCCTGAGGTACTTAATTCACTTTACTAAGCTCAGGAACATTGTTGTGTGCTAATCTTCCAAGTTTTCATATTTTTACTAAAGTTCTTTTCACCATGAGTGTGGTAATGTAGGTTTAATTGTACATTTTTTAAACTTGACGCCGTAAAGTTGTCAGGTGATCATCGCAGCAAGTTAAGACTATAAACCCCGTGTTTATAGTCTATTGAAAAGAATTTGAATATTGAAAAGAATTGGCGACGGCATGTTGCTATATAGGAGCAATCAGAGGTGTGAAGCATCACTATCCTGCATGCCACTGCTTCAACGTCTATTGAAACCAGAGCTGAATCAAGTATTTCAAAAGAAAAAAATATCTTGAAACGTTCTGTTTATAATGTGTTAGACAAACTTTCACACATACTCAAGTAGAAAAATGACTGAAATCAATAATATTGCCCCAGAATTCAATGACTATCAAATTACAATGGAAAATTGTGATATTGTTGATAAAAATTTTAAAGGTAATTCATTCGCTACTCAATTCATGGTAATTTCCGCCAAATACCTCATCATTGTGTGCATCGGTCGTGTTTTGTAAGTACTTTTTTGAGATGTTAGCTTCTATGCAGTCTACATTTGCTGCAAAGCTTAAAAATATAATGGTTGAAACAACACATCATTCAACGATCAATGTAACACGCAAAGTTTGCAGCAAAATGCACGCTGCCTGACACAATACAATTTTAATGCTGCAAACGCAACACAATAAACGTTTACGCTTGCTGCAATACGCAACGTAATTTTCTTACTGCAACACGCAACGTAATTTTATTGCTGCAAAACGCAAGACAAAGCTAGCTGCAAAACGTAACAAAATTTTCTTACAGCAAAACGCAACGCAACGCTAGCTGCAAAACGTAACAAAATTTTCTTACAGCAAAACGCAACGCAACGCTAGCTGCAAAACACAACATAACTTTCTTGCTGCAACTCGCAACACAACGCTCGCTACAACACGCAACATAATTGTCTTGCTGCAAAACGCAACACAACGCTAGCTGCAACACGCAACATAATTGTCTTGCTGCAACACGCAACGTAATTTTCTTGCAGCAAAACGCAACACAACGCTCGCTGCAACACGCAACATAATTGTCTTGCTGCAAAACGCAACACAACGCTCGCTGCAACACGCAACGTAATTTTCTTGCTGCAACACGTACGCAACACAACGCTAGCTGCAAACCGCAACATAATTGTCTTGCAGCAAAACGCAACACAACGCTGGCTGCAAAACGCAACACAACGCTAGCTGCAACACGCAACGTAATTTTCTTGCTGCCACAAGCAACGTAACTTTATTGCTGCAAAACGCAACACAACGCTAGCTGCAACACGAGTTGCACCCGGCGTCGCAGGTCGCCTCATCAAAGACCGTTATCAGGGATCGAGCGGCAGCTATGATAAGACGATAATTCCCTTTATCTGACGATGCTTGTGAGAACTCTTATCGCATCTTATTGACCAACGAATATTAAGATGGAAATTACCTGTTATCAATAGAAAAAAATGAGAACGTCTTACGAAGGCACTACCAGCTCTATTATTTGTTGTTTTAAACAGGATCTTGTTAGTCCCCCCTACAGCCCTGGTCCGTTCGCTGCTTATGAAAGGCGTCTTTGTTCTAGGCATTCGAGGTGTCAGTTACTCGGCACGTATAATGACTTGCTTCTGACTAGTTCTGATTAAAAGTTCACGAAGTATAAGTATATTTTAGCTTTTCCACTTGTTAAGAAATGATTATCACAAATTACATTTTTGCAGAAATTTCCTCGAAAAAGGTAGAAATCTCAATCTGAATCTTTATGTATCTGAAAATTAGTTCAAAGTTTTCAAGTGTCTCTAACTTAAATAAAATGGCAATTTTGGCGGCTATAGTACAATTTTTCATAATTAATTGGTGTGTTAAATAATTATTCTATGCTAACAAATTTACTTTTACAAGGCAGTGGGCCTTATTCTCGAAATTTTTGCCTATCGGCTGAATTCGCAGGATGATTGACATGAACACTAATGCTTGCCATTAAAATTCATGCGAATACTCGAAGCCAAGCCGTGTGGACATTGAAATTTTCATTGGAATGCAGAATGCTGATTATTCACATATTGCTGATTATTTAATTATTTAACATTTTTGCGTATTTTTGAAGATTTAGTTTCAATTGACATCCGTTTTTAGTGATTTATCTCTGCTTAATCTCGCTGTTGTCTCATAGAAGCCACCAATGCAATCCGCTTGCCAACATCGGGCCTGAGAAGAGAGAAAGTGAAGAGCCTGGACTGCGGGGGCGGCAGTTGAGGCCCCCTTTGCTTGCTTTCACGCCGCCCTCTTATTTAGTGGAGGCATCTCGGGGGGGTTAGTTCCGACCCAGCGGTAGATCAGCTGCATCTCTGACCAAGCGGTAGATCACCTGTATCTCTGAACCAGGGGTAGATCACCTCTACCTCAGACCCACGGGTAGATCACCTGTATCTCTGACCCAGGGGGAGATCACCTGTATCTCTGAACCAGGGGTAGATCACCTATACCTCTGACCCAGGGTTGGATCACCTCTACCTCTGGCCCAGATGTAGATCACCTCTACCTCTGACCCAGGGTGTAGGTCACCTCTACACTACCTCTGACCTAGGGTGCATACCAGATTCTATTGCGTCATTACCAATTCCAAGTCCTACAGCTTATACCAATTCGGAGGCCAGATACCCAAGAATAAATATAATAATGTTCTAAATCCTCATATAAGTAATTATCGATATTTCAAACTCAACTTCCCAATTGCAAAAGCGGGATCTAAACTCTAAGAACTCAAGATCATCCTAAAAATTTGTTCATTTCTCACTCTCGAACTTGAAGTAAATCCGACAATAGTAGATGTATATAACAAACTTTTGATTAACTTTGCACTTGCAATTTAGTGTATAGAAATGAGAACCTCATTTATATTTCCGAGTCCTTCATTCAACCCGTCACATTTCGCCGAGTTTCAAATGTTCGCGCTTCGCCGCAAGTAATAAATGATAGAGAAAAACAT